TTGTTTTCTTTTCTTTTTTTCATATTAAATAAAAAATTAAAAAAATAAGAAATGCTATGTCTCTCTTATGCATTCTGCAATTGATGGGCAAGCTACATCTATTTCTTACTGGTTCCCTGTCATGTAGAGCATTGTTATCTCTCCTTTGGCTTTCATTTTATAATTTTGTTTCAAGTTAGATGTGTTTCTTGTACAGGTGCCAAAGATGCATGATTTGAATCCCAGCACTCGGGCAAGATTTCGAACATCACTTGCAGCTGAAAAGACCACACACAGCATCCCATCACTGGGGACACAGAGGAGGTCGCTGTGGACCTAACTAGGTCATGCACAATGACCTCCAAGCAGCTAGCAGAGCTCTGATTTCAATCCCAGGAGCTGAACATGTGTGAGTTGATTCCCAGAACATGGGGGAAGTTTTGAAACATTGCTCCCAGTTGGAATGCCCAGCATTCCAAATCATTGAAGGATGCATGGGACATCCCTGAGGGTCTAACAGGGACATGCCTCGTGACCTCCAAGCAGTGAACGGGGGCCTGCATCAATTCCAAGAGCTGAACATGTGCAAATTGATTCTCAGCACAGGGGAAAAGCTTTGCAACACCCCTTGAAATCTGGAAATATAATAAAATAACAAAACAAAAGAGCAAAATGACATTTCAGAATTCCAGCCCAACACAAGCAAGCCTAGAAGACATGGACACAGAAGAAAATGGACATGTAAGTCCAACACCTGAAATTCCTGAAATTAAAGCAACTGAAGACACAACTCCAGGAATCTATAAAAGAGCTCAGATCAGAAATAATCTCCCAGTTAGAAGAATAAATGATAAATGTGATGAAAGAAATATTGAACATATCTAAAGAAGACATAGTTTTAAAATTAGAGGAACGGTGCAAAAAAGATGAAACCCTGAATGAACAATATAAGAAACAAACAGAATGAATGAAACAGATTCAGAGATATACAGGAAATCAGAAATTACATCAAAAGTTGGCAAAACTGCCTTAATGAAAGTGAAGACAAAATTTGAGACCTGAAACACAAGATTGTAGCAAGTATACAAAAAAGGGAAAACTTAAAAAAAAAAAAAACAAGGAATCATGAAGTATCAATTCAATAGCTGCAAGACAGTGCAAAGGAAAACAACATAATACTGATAGGTATACATGAAAAAGAAAGTGACAACACAAATGACATCAAGAGGCTGTTTACAGAAATAATAGCTAAACATTTCCAAAATATGGGAATAAAAATGGACATACAGATCATTGAAGCATATACCACTCCAAATAACCATAACCAAAATAAAACTACACCCAGGTATATAATAATCACCATCCCATAAATCCAACATAAGAACAGAATATTAAAAGCTGCTAGAGAGAATAGACAGATCAGCTATAAAGGAAAGCTTATCTCAATCACAGCAAACTTCTCAGCACAAACAATGTAATCAAGAAGAACATGGAGTAAAGTATCACAAATAATAAAAGAAACTGACTTCCAACCCAGACTGATGTGTCCTGAAAAACTGTTCTTCAAAATGGATAGAGAAAGGATATACTTCCATGACAAAGAACAGTTGAAAGACTTCATAACCACCAAACCAATCATGAAAAGAATAATGAAACACATTCTACACAGACACAGGAAAAAAAGCCAAGCAAGGCAAACAATGAAACAGAGTGAAAAGGTAAAAAATCAACAGCAGAAAGATAACATGTGAATAGCTCTTCATGTCTCAGCTTAGGTGACTTATCGGAACACCGTCTCCATTCCTCTCCTTATGAGATTGTAGTAGTCGGCACAATGCCCCCAGGTTGAGCCAGCATTACAGATATTTCCCTGTGTCCCACAGGTAAACTAGGCCTGTAGTTTTTGGAAGACTTCCCTTCCCAGCAAAGGAACTGTACAGATTGGAATGTACAGAAATTCTTGCTGATCCTCTCATTCCCCTACTACTCTTCTTTTTGACTAGCAAAATGACTTTATTACTGGGACCCCAGTGGCTTTCAAAATAATCACATTTCAGTTTGATACTCATCCAATCAGTTGTGCTACTACTGAGTTCTCAGCTCCATTCTGTACCATAAAGTCCATCAGTTGGACCCCTACTTGCATTGTGACCATACATATTCTTTGGGAGACCTAAAGACATGGAGCCCAGTTTGCATAGACCTCATAGTCTGAAGTTTGTGAAAGTCTAATAAGGTGGGGACCTGACTCCTTTGAGTGTGATGGAACTTAGAAGGTGGCTTCCTAGATTCATATTTTGCATCATTTCTGGAAATTCATTTTTCAAGTTCCTATTCTTTTTATGACACACACACAGATCCCAGTATAACTGTTGCTTGGTTCTGGGTCCCTGCCCAGGTGACCTGTGCCTTGTCCCTGTGCACACCCTTGCCTTCTTGTGACCTCTGTCATCTTTCCTATGAGTGCTGCTGCTAGCAGATTTACTTTCCTTTTGAGCTTCCTATCATCTTGGCATTGGGTCTCCTAGTCACAGTTTACATAGCTTTGTTGGCCACCTCCAGAACTGGATCACCTTCATGTCAGCAAATCATTTATATTTTGTGGTAGTTGCCTACTGTCTCTCTGAGCCTCTCCCACAAAGGCAGCATTTATCATGTGCTGGTTCTCAATATCGCAAGTGTTAAATGGACTATACAGTCAAAACACTGCAAAGAACCTCTCTTAAAACTGGTTAGGGCTTTTATTAGTCCCCTGCAGTACCTCTAGAATCTTTCCCATATTATTGTTCTGTTTGCACTCTCTTTAATGCCTTCTAAGAGACTGTCTTGGTATTACTTCAAGCATTGTAACTGTTCTCTATTTTTGGATCTCATTTGGGTTCTTTCTCTCAGAATTGTTCCTGAGAAGATATTGAACATTAAACACACCCACTTTGGCATTGTTTCCAATGCCAGAGGGCTGGTGATTAGACATTAAGGGCTGCTATTAGACATTAAGCACGCTCTTGTGCTTAATGTCTAATGGCATCAAGAATAGATGATTCAAGAATGGTCAGATTGAGCTGTGAATCTAAAAGTTCAATTGCATTAAACCTATGAGGGAATGGGGCTTCTTTAAATAGGAGGGACAGTTGTGTTTCTCATTCAGGAGGGCAGTAGTTGAAAGGATTGATTGACAAAGCTATGATGTCATTCTTGGATTTGTCTCTCCAGATCATAATAATTGAGCCACTCTACTATCTTGTAGGGATGTCTGGAAGGCCCATTTATTGCCCAAACAGAGGTTGATCGTTTGATCTTTTGGCTTGCCTCATCTTCCCTCTGAGACAGAAGCTTTGATTCTTTCTTCATAGGTGAAGTCAGAATCAGAAGCATTGGGGGTGAGGAAATTGAGAAGTGAACTGCTGTAAGAAAATAAACCTAAATTCTGCTTTAATATGTGCCAGAAACATCTCTCAGCCAGACATTCCCCATTATTTGAGAATCCAGTAATTACTCTAAAATCAGAAATACTTAAATCAGTAACTAATATTCAATGCATAAAAATTGTATATTTCTGAACAATAAGCTTTGCCAGCTTTCAACTTTTCAGTTTGTTCTAATATACTAATTTTATGGCTAAATATATTGCAAAGATCGATTTCTAAAATGAAGCCTGTGGCTCTCCATGTTTACAATTTCATGGGACTATGGAATTATGTCAGAAACAGTGGAACATACTTTTACACGTTTTCCCCCATCAAAATTATTAAAAAGAAGAATCATATGGATAGACTATGACAACCCTTGGATTCAGAAGTCCTTTCAAAAGAGTGGAATTACTTCTGGTGCAGTTAAAGTTCATTTTGAGTGTGTCAAAATAGGAATAATGTTGAGTATGAGTAGTAAACTTGGAATTATTTAAAATTGATATGTCAATATTTACATGAATGGTGTAAAGTAATTACATAAAAAAGATGAAGAGGATGATAAAAGTGTCAAAATGGAAATATGTTTTCAACTTACTTTTAAATTTTAAAATTGAAAAATATTGTTACTAAATGTTAAGGAAGTATTTGTCAATTTGAGAAAGCTAAACATGTCAAGAATGTATACAAGCTAGGTTTATTAATTAAACTTGTGATTTACATTTAAGGTGAATTCATTTCAAAACTTTTCATGAAAAAATAACAAATTTGAGTTTTAATAATACCTATGTATTAAGACAATATTGATTTTCTTGATTGAAATAGAGTATGTGATTAAGATTTTTATTAAATTGAAGCTTTCGAGGGATTATTCATTTGAACTGCATGATTTGCACTGAATTTACACACATACACATAAACACACACACATGCACACACACTGATGATAATGAGCATAGCTGACACCACCAGGTAAGTTTTGAGCTGCCTTACTGAGATCATGTTCTCAATCTTCGGATGAGACTATTGCTTGGAATTGAATTGTTATATACTTATATGCAATGTTAATCTGTGTACTTATGAACAACACTATAATCTAATGCTTCAGAATCTTTGGACAGGCTTGGGGAGTGGATGATTTAACACTTATAACAGCCAGATTAAAATTAGATTTAAGAGCAGGAGCACTAAAAGTGATTGGTGGCCACACACTATAATTATATAAAAGGTTTAACTTCACAAGCCAATACATTTGAGGATGTCTAGTAAATGATGATATTTAAAAAATAACACCTGAGAATTACACCAGAGTTAAAAGAGACACAAGAAGCAAAAAACAAAACATAAATAATTTAGCAAAATACAGATATTGAGAAGTGTAGGTTGAAAAAATATGGGAGTAAAACTAAGGTTAGCAACTTAAAAAGCATACATTCATCTGCAATAGCATTGCTGTTTGTAGTTAGAGACAGCAGAATTTGATTCATTTACTGCAATTATTATATTAAAGTGAAAATATATTTTAAGGTAAAAAAGATTTTCTTTTCATGCAGACTTTGGCAATGAATACCAAAAGTGGTGTTTAATTATGTAAATTGAAATACGTGGTAGCCACTATATGCGGTTGATATTTTTAGAATATCTATTTCCCCTAACATTTTTCCTAGTCTTTAAACCTGTCAAAGTGTTGTTCTCAGATCTTATGAAAATAACATAGCACTTAGGAAGAAAGATGCAGCCCAATAGCCCTGCACTGGAGGCCAAGATGGAGAAGACCTCCATGGCAACCATCACTTTCCCCTTGCTGCTGTGGTATACAGGGAGGAAGGTGACCCACACACTGCAGAACACCAGCATGCTGAATGTCAGGAACTTGGCTTCATTGAATGTGTCAGGAAGGTTCTTGGCCAGGAAAGCCACAGTGAAGCTGAGCAGGGCCAGGGAGCCCAGGAATCCCAGGACACAGTAGAAGGCAGTGAGGGAGCCCTTGTTGCACAAGAGGATGATATGGCCATGTTCAGAGTATGCATCTGTGTCGATGTAGGGTGGATTTGTCCCCATCCAGAAGCCACAGATAGTGAGTTGGATAAGGGTGCAGATGGGGATGATGTAGTTTGGTGCCCCTGATACCAGCAAATGCCTCATTCTTCTTCCTGGACCAGTGACTTTAAAGGCCAGAACCACAGTAATGGTCTTGGCCAAGACAGAGGAAACAGCCACAGTGAACACGAGTCCAAATGTCATTTGTTGGAGGATGCAGGTGGCTGTGTTGGGACGGCCAATGAAGAGCAAGGAGCAGAGGAAGCACAGGAGGAGGGAGATGAGCAGGGTGTAGCTGAGAGTCCTGTTATTGGCCTTGACTATGGCAGTGTCTCGGTGCTTCACAAAGATTGCCATAATCACAACTGTGAGTACAGAGAAACTCAGAGCTACATGGGTCAGAGCCATCCCTAGGGAATCCTCAAAGGACAGGAAGTCCAAAATCTTGGGGAGACAGCGATCTCTGTTTCTGTTTGGGTATTCATGCTTTGGGCAGTGTATGCATTGCTCTGCATCTGGGGGAAAAGCAAAGATTCAGCTCTCTTTTCCATAAATTCTTCATTTTTATGAAGTCAATGAAATTTGCATCCTAAATTAGTTTACAAGTATCAATTTGATTGTGCGTGATGAAAAGAGCAGCTACTTTGAAGAAAAAGACACATTATGGTATCCATTGCTGATTCCATATCCTCATGCTGTGAAATCCAATAATGCTTTTATTCTTTGTTCAGAGCGGTTTTAAACTGTTATATATTGTTTAATTTCAACATACATGAAGATATGGAACGTTATTTGGAGGAGAACAAGAGGCATTATGACGCCCACTGTTGATTTTCTTATTGTCTTGTTTTGAATTACTATAATATCTTTATCACTCTATTCTGATCTGTTCAATACTATTTTGTTTTGTATAAATTCATTGTGTGTGAAGATATGGACAACTACTTAGAAGAAAACAAGAAACATTATGGTAAACAATGAGATCTATGGGTCTTGCTTTGAAATCCGTGTCACTTTATTTTTTTCTGATCTGCTTTATTCTGTTTTGCTATGTTCAGTTTTATCCTCTTTAAAATAAAAATTACATGAAATAAGAAAGAAATTCAACTCTTCTCCAATTTCACTATGAATACTTGTGGTTAATATATATCAGATTACATTTCTACATGACTGACTCAGGAATAATTAATCTAATTAAATATTATTTCAAATGCTTTCAAGTGGCATGTCCATCAGATTCAGCAGGATGAGATAGGAGGCTGGGTCATCCTGAGACTCTGTGATGTCACTATGATGTTGAGCTTCTCTCCATCCTTCTCTTGACTCTCCTCAGTCTTTCTCAGGATAAGCTTTTAATTGGCACAAAATTCCCTCAAGACAGTATATTTTGAAGATTTCCCTCATTCCTCCTCAAAGGGTGAAATGAGTAGTCCTGATATCATTGGAGTTTCAGGATTGCTCTATTGTTATCCAACAATCTTCTGTCAAACCTATCATCCTTTCTGATTGGACAATTGTTTCTTGACCTTTTATCTTATCATTTGTGTTATTATTCTTGTGAGTAATATTTTTCTGCAATCATATTTAAATGTTCTCACATACATACTCTACAATCTAAGTTTATAATTATCTATAGAATTTTCTGTTTCTATTTTACTTTTTCCCTCATACATCGGTAATTCTCTGTGACTCTTTTTCATTAATTTTGCATGTAAATATTGAAAACTGAAAATATTTTCATTTTGAATGCAACTGTATTAATGATTTATAACTCTTTGGGTAACAATTTGTATGTTAATACTATTATTTAAGAACATTTTTAAAAATCTCCAAAATTTAAAATTGAAAATCTCCAAAGTTTAAAACTGAACATGAGTTTTATGCTCATTTGCACTATAAATACCATATGATGTAACTAACACATGTCACACTAATGACTAATATGCAACACTGTGTGCAGAATTTATGACAAGAAAAACAATGTAATATAATGATTCTAAGATAGGTTTTCCACTTTTACTCATTCAAGGGAGCAACAAGTCCTTAAAATGAATGTTATTAGGCACTGTAGACATATACTTACAAAGATCAAAAATTTATGTACTTGAAATTTGTTATAGATAAGTTTTAGATTTGAGTCATCAAAGCATCCACAGGAAGCTTTGAGAAATACACACATATTGTTTCATAGATTACCTTAATCCAGGTTCACTGTAAGATTTCATATTGACCCTGTCTGACTCACCATTGGATATAGCCTTAGATGACCATGGGAATTAGTGCTTCAGCTGAGCGTCATAGAGCCAACATCACCAAACCAAATTATGTACCTGGTGACTATGAGTATAAAAAGGGCATATTGAAGGAATGAATCAGTAGGTGAGTGGCAAACTGTGCTTCACTCTTACCCCATTAGCAATAAGCTCAGCTTCACATTAGTGAGAAGTTGTTAAAGGGAGCAGTTACCACAGTGTCATTGTAGATTTGCTACCTGTCTGATTGGATATGTGTCTCTCTGGACAGAAAATGCAGGTAAAGCAGCAGACAGGTCTTCCTTCCTGAGGAATCTTGCTGAATCCTGGACCACAGCTGTGGCTACACACTGATTGGGGAGGAGTCTAATGGGAAGAAACAAGCACTGGTTATGATTTTGCACATTATGAGCAGATGAAATGTGATGTACATATTTCCAGATTAATAAAACAGAAAGATATTTGATTTTCATTAGGAATTGATCACAACCACTTTTCCCACCATCTGTCAGGTTTATATGAACTAGTTATCAAATTCGGGATCAAAATGGTTATCTTTCTATTGTTTATGAAACTATTTGTCAAATATTTCCAGGGTCCTTGGTCACTTTATTAGATCACAATCAACACACCCATGCCATTTTGCTTTCTTATCTATCTACTTCACCATGTCTTTAGAGGCATGTTTCCATGCAGTAAGTTAAGAGTCCTTGTACTCCTCCTGAGGGGATTTTTACCAGGCGAATTTACTTGGTTGGACATATGCCTATGTTATAGAAAACACAGTGCAATGAGATGATAATTTGGCTAAACACAGAGTAACTACTGGGAAAAACAATAAACAAACCAACAAAATAGTGCCAACATAAAATACTGAAACAAGTGTGTCTCTACTTGAATTTATTGCACTAATGGGCTTCATAATGAAGAGGATGCTATGCTCTAACAATGAACAACATAACCAGTGTGCAAAGCATGATTGTTATTTTAATCTGAATAGTTGTGTGGGATGGTCCACATTTGGGAAGATAAAATATCCTGTCAGCTCATTTGGATGATAAGAAGAACAAAATTTGGAGGTCAAAGATTCTTAACACTTACAAAGAGAATGATGATAACATGTAGAAAACATTAATCATATGTTAATATCTGATTTAATTAGTTTGAGTCAAATCATAAAAATGACTCTTGCAGTGTATGCCTGAAAGATGTTGAGTTATTTAGATGGATATGATTGGTATACATCTAGCCATATTTTTACCGATATCTGTATTTATCACTCAACTGTACCACAAATAAATATATCAAAATTAAAATATAATATCTTCTACAAACTTGCTGTTTCTCTAGAAGTTAGCTCAGAAGATGTGGTACAGAGACAAGATATGAAGGTGACATCAGTGCTTAGTAGAAGTCATTACAGTCTGATTCTGTAACTGTTTCCAAGTATGTCTCTGTGTGTCCTGTACTGAAATGGATTCATACCTCTGTGAAACCAACAGGCCATTCTATCAAATCTTCATTGACCACCAAGCTTTGGCCCTGTGGTCTCTTAAAGAAAAACTCCCCCACTTTAACCAGCATCCTAAGGCCACCTGGAAAATTCAGTGTGTTCTGGATGTCATACTGTGCCACATGTTGTCTTTCCTCATCCAAGAATATGGAAAATCCAGCACTGTTTGTAAATTCCATTTTCTTCAGGTGGGGATGGAGCTGCAGGAGAGGCATCAGATGGGGAATGAGGAGTGCATACAAATTAAATGTATGTAAAACATTTTCGTCGAAACTAAGTGCTCATGTGTCATTGTTGACAGCCTGTTCTGCTTGGATGGTCACTGTCTGATGGGTATAAGTGAGAACCCTGATCCCCATGCCATGATTGGGGGAGTAAAGAAATGGCATCGCAAAGATTCTAGAATGGCTGACTATTTTAATGTTTTTGGATCATTGAACGCAGCTGTTTGCAGTATCTCTGTTTGAATGTCCACTTTGTATTCTTTGATACTGTGATTTGAGCAACTATTTCCAAGATGATAATATGTAATCTATTAACAGGTGATTTCTTACTGTTATTTTTTTTTGTAGTTCTGTATTACATGTACCCTTACACCGCTTAGTTTTGTTTTGTGTTTTTCTCTTTTTCCTCTTAAATAAAAATTTAAAAAAAAAAGATTGCCTCCAGAGTGGCAGTTAAATGATCTCGTTTCCAACCCAGACTTATAACTGATTTTAGACGAACCTGAGGCTAACCCTCAAACACTGATAAGGACTAAACCTTGATGCACTGGTTTACTGCATTCTACTCATAGCACCATGAATGTGGAGAAATGCCCATGCTCGTGAAAATATACTCACTGACTGTGTGTCCTTTTCAAATCTGACGTATACCTGCATAAAACTTAAGAAAATGCACATCATGAATTATTTTTTCTTTTGTTTGAGATGATTTTTTTTCATAAAGTGGTAGTATCCTGAAATATCTGGGTTTATTTTGGAGTTATATAGTCCAGTATATATGGTCTCTGACATTGTACTGTGGAAAATAATTCACCTCTGATTCTTTTAACAATTTTTATTTAAGCTCTTCAATATGTGAACACAAACAGTCTAAATAATCTACCATTGTCCTTCAGGATATACCATGCCAAACGTCAACTTTTCTTAGAATCAAGGACTTAAGTTCAGTGTTGTACACAGTTATTATTGTTGGTACTGAAATGAAATTATGTAATTTTGTTTCTGTAGTACTTTTATTTAATGATTCAAATTCTGATTAATGTGCTTGCCTATATATATGAGGGAAAGACATCACTAATATATCCCATGCTGGGATTCAATTACTTTGAGGTTAAAACTTAAACATATTTGTGTTTGACTGATAGCATGATGCAATATATATATATATATATATATATATATATATATATATATACATATATTTCATGGCATCATTTGTAAAAATGAAACCAAAGTCCCTGTTCAAATATAAAGACCAGCAATGTTGATGAGCAATACATTTCCCAGCATTGTTTTACAATATTTTGTAGAGGCCTTTTCATTTGTATTCAAATTGCAAAAAAGAGGATTTGGGCTGCAAAATATACAACAATCTGACTGAAATAGATACAATTATTGTGACCATGTTTTTCTGGTTTGGATTTATTTCAAGGAGTGTTATAGATATTACCAGTTATTCAACATGTATTTTTGTCATGAGTTCTATTTAGGTACTTAACATCACTTTATATTACTTTTGAAATTTATGGTATAATATAAAATTAAGTAGTTTTGGATCCCAACACTCAGTCACAAAGGTCTACCACTGCAGGTGATAATTACAGATGTATACATGTCCAGAGCAAAAGGCCTAGCTAATGCATTTGCCTAACTCTGCTGACCTAAGGATGTAAACCTCCTTATGGTACATCGCATTAAAATACCTTCAGACACCATCAGGTCATCAGTCCTGTTCTTCTTCTGAAGTAGGTATACCTGCCAAGGAAGAAGCCCAGGCTGCTCTGCATTTTCAGAAGAACCCACTTCTGCTTTCTCCAAAAGCATTTTATGCAGCACATGGGCCAATGCATACACAGCATTGTAGATGAAATAGCTGGAATCAGACAATGTCATGAGGTCAATGTTTCCAGGCATAAATTCTAAGGATGTATTCGGGGGGCAAACTCCAATTCTCCCACATTGCGAACCAGGAAGTGAGCAATCAAAAAAATTGAGCCATAATTTGCTGAAATAAAAGTCTTCAGGGTATTGGGAAGGCTTGGTTGTTTGGAGGAAGTGTCTGAAACCAGGAACTTCCCCCTTGTGAGGAGAAAATGAGAAGCTTCCATGAAAGGAATGCAGCATGTGGTCCGTCTCATACACAACAATGTCCCATTTTGCAGTCATGATCCACACCTTTCCTGTTGTCAAAAAGAATTCTGCTGCAATATCCACATTGATGAGGCTCGCGACTTCCCCATACAGGATATGCACATTGGCAGATGAAGCTCTGATCTTGCTCATGAAAGTGATGTCACTTGATGCATACATTATCTTAGTGGCAGGGAGCTTTTTTGTCAAGGCCACACAGATACCTTTCTTTAGCATCTCTGCTTTCAGGTCCCCCAGGAAGTGCTCACCTTTCACATCATTAGATACAAAGATAGCCACCCATGTCCAGCCAAAATGCAGCAATAATGAGATCACTGCATGCACCAGAGTGCTGTCCGTGGGGGCCATCTGATAGACCGATGGATATTGGTGTTTGTCACTGAGAATGGTGTCAAAAGGTCCATAGGTGACCTGGAAAAACAAACAAAAAGATGACTCTGTAGCTTACTGAGATTGGTGTTTGCAAACTTTGCGGGGAGGGGGGGGGGTTGAGTGTTCTCTCCAAGATGGGGCTACTGACTAGACTACTAATTGGTAAAGAGAAAGAGCTGTGCAGAGATTACCCAGTCCTCAAGTTCTGAACAGAGTGCTGTGCTTACTGTTGCACAGCATTTAGGAATTGTCACGTGTATGTTTTATTTAATGAAATAATTGTTAAGGTCCACATGACTTTTCACATCTTTCACATGGTTCAAGATGGAATAAACTTTGGCTAAAGCAGTACAATAAGGTATCTGCCTGCCACTCTCCCTTCTGCCTTCAGCTGTGGAGTCACCTAGCAGGAACCAATAGTGGATGGACTCTCTGATAAAGAAACCAATCTTCAATATGGTAATCTCTGAATGTTTTCACATTATTATAACACTTAAACCTAGCTTGTCTTAAGGAATATAAACACTATCCCTGGATAACTGCATAAACAGTATTTAAAGGTTTTTTCCCAATGCAATGCTCCTGTTTTACAGTTATGCCACATAACTGATGTTTGTGCCGCAAGTTTCTTCTGGAAATAACACACAACACAGACTACATTTCCAAGTAGGTGGATTTGAGGTAGGACTTAGTAAAGCAAGTATCTGAATCTTAAGAGTTGTGAGGGGTTCAGCTATAAATTGGGTTCTCTAAAACTTAAGCTCACAGTGTTTTCTCAAAGAAATCACATGTCCTGCTATTTTTAGCCCCACATGGGACAGCCACTGACCTCTAGAGGCTACTGAGAGTGTAATATTCTGTGATGGACATGCATCACAACACCAACTGTGAGCTGCCAGCAGTCAGTGTAAGGAAAATGAGAAGTCAGTGCTCTGGAGCAGGACAAAAATATGGATTGAGGCCCATAGTAACCACATCTCCACACTCTCTTTCTTTTTGTAATCCTGATTATCTGGAAACACAAAGATATTCCTTTATCACTTAACATTTTACAGGGTGTCTATGCTTAGTCTCCATATTTCCCTTTTACCATAGGTACCCCTATTGGAGATACTGGAAAAAATATTGCCCAAATTCATGGTCCACTTGCCTGGGGGAATTTGTAGAGTTCCAAAATTGTTCCAGTCTCCGCTGAAAATGCTGCTGAGGTTCCTGCAATGACAGCAGCAAATTTTCTGTGTGTCTGGCAGTTGTAGTTAGGGAGGGGAATGTCTGTTCCACAAAGCCAATGTAGAGTGCTCCACAAGGCAAAGTGGTCACTGGCAATGGCATTGTAGACTTGGAAACCCAAGGTCACATTGGGGAGCAGCTGGGAGCCCTTATTGATCTCCTCGATAGCAAAGTAGAAAGCCAGTACATACTGGTAGTTCTTCCAAAACCATCTGTTCAAGTAGAAATTGTATCAGTTCCACTGATTGTAACAAGAAAGTGGTACAACATAGTATTTTCCTATTTTACACAAAGTGTTGATGCCCCAAAAGGCAAATATACTAGGACACTGTAAGGTTTTTGTTCACAAGAGTACCTGCTATATGAGTTAAACTTGAACAAATTGCACAACATGAAATAATCCAGACAGAAAATGTCAGAAATCATATGGACTCACTCATAGGATATATTTTGAATAGACAAATCAATAGCATTGCAAATTAGGCTAGTACCTTCCAGATACTGAAGGAGAAAAGGGGATAAGCTATCGGTGAGTAGTGTTAGTGAAAAATATGCTGGCTTCCTATGCGTGTTTAACAAGAAATATCATCAGCTTTGTCAGTGACCATACACTTTGGTCCAATGATATTATTTCACTTACACTGATCAAGGAAATGTACAGAGTTTGTTTTAAAATATTGGACATTTAGGTATCATAAGTACAGAAAGTTAATTACACCTGAAATAATCAACATTGCTTAAATTTGTGTTGGCATACTTAAAGTAACATTTAATAGACCTGCAAAATATAAGAGGAATGATCATTAATCACAGGAAATTATGTTTGAGCTATAATCCCTCTGACTACAACACCGTTTACAGAATAAAGTTGAGAGTCTGTGCTCATATTAGGTCTTTCACAAGTATACAAATAGACATTTTTACTGTTTTATAACTATGATAAATTTGATTGGCTTTTTGGAAAAAAATAAGAGTTCAGAATATTTCTGAGTGGATATCACAATGTAGAGAGCAAAATGGGGCTTCCATCTTTGTTAAATGGGTTAGAAGCCATAATCTGGCCCCATGAAATCATGGGCACACAATTTCCCTGAAGGTTATCTGTGATTAAGATTTTCTTTTCTCTGTCATCAATTCTACATTCCTAACTGTGGAACATGAGAAGAATCAGTGAAGTCATCTAACTTTAGATTTCACATGGATGAAGTAATGGACAGAAAATAGTCCATTTTATGCTTTTGGTAAAGATATAGAAATAGAAAAAAACGGAGAGAAATTCAAAATTAACAATAGAGGGGGAAATGATAGAAAATTGTCCTTACAATGGCAGAAAACTAGAATTTTACTCCAGAAGTTGGTAGACCAGTATCATTTATATCTAGTGCATACTAATTACTGAAAGGATAAATATTAAAGGACGTTGGGAGAAACTGCTAAAAATAGAGACAGCCATGGAACCAAACTGCTTACAGCTTGACTCTCTAATGACATGAACATACTGATATGTGGAACACTTTTAAGGTACACTTAACATTTACACTAGCAAGTCATGTACAGAGAACATGCTAACCTGCCATTGAATCCCTATTTAAATTAATTCAGCAACTTAGTTATTATAGTCATATATCATACAGTAGACTAAGCCTCCAATTAATAAATTTCTGCTTTTCTTTCTGCAAGAGTTAACGAAGAGATTCCTGGAGTAGAGCAATAAGCCCCCCTAAATGATGGTTTTATTTTCTTCTAATTAATCTAAGGTCAGAAGAAAGACCATAAAGTCTGATAAGATTCAATTATGGACATTTTGTAGGGCATGTTCGTCTTTGGCTATGAATCTCAGCTGTGGTGGGCTTCATTGTGAGACATACTTTTAAAATGTCCCTGTCCAAAGTGGACACATAGAGTGACTCACTTGGGTGCATTATTAATGTCAGACCAGGGCTTGGTTTGTCAGATGCCTAAGGCTATCACTCCATGAGATGTCTCAGAAGGAGATGATGAAGTAGCAGGTACTTCATTTAAGTACTTGATAATGCTTGATGATGATCATTCACGTGATGGTTTGTGCATAAAAATGAGGAATTCTATCATCTATGTTTCATGGAGAGGAGAGAAGAAGAAAATTGAAACATGATCAAAAGATCAAGAAGCAGGATAATCTCAGAAATCACCAGTATGGCTTCCAGCCATGTCTTTACATTTAAAAAAATAGTTCTCAAGGCATACCAATTCAATCATTACACAAATGCCAGCACACCCAATCACACAGAGTCATAATCATATTTAATACACACACACACACACACACACACACACACACACACACACACAGCGTGGAACTTACCTACTGGCTCTTATATAAGCTTTTGGTGTGAACAGAAAGGACAGACGGGATATATCAGGATCCTGGTTCGTGTAGTAGAGGGGGAAAAACCCACCGAGCACCAAGTCTCCATCTCTGTGGACACTCGGACGCAGGTATGCTAAACACCATGAAACTTCCTTCCATGAAGCATGTAAAGTTTTCAAGAGTAGAAAGAGGAAAATGAAGAAGAACATGTTCAGCTCCCCAAAGTAGAGAAAAAGTTTTTTTGATGTCTCGGTTGAATAAACGAAGGTGGATTCTGTCTGTGGAATCAGCCTTTGGAAATGAGAATCAAATTCTGTGTAAGGCACTGAGAAGTCCCAAAATCATTAGATGCCTTTACAAAGTGGAACATTTGCCAAGCCAGCTTGCTAGACAGCAGCACAGCTAAACAGACAGTGATGGATCAGCAACATAGCCATGGAGGCCACATATCACCCTTGGTGACATTATGATCAGATCATTGCTGGCTCTCTCTTTTCAGTGTTTCATGTCACCTCCTGAAGGATCTCTGGGGATCTCCCAGGCCTTGGGCTCTGCACCTGCCACCCCACAATTTGATGAAATAACACTTAAAAATATGTTTATGAATCCTTCTTGGGCTTTATTATTTCATCTTGCTCCACCAAGATTTCCACACTGCCTCCTGAGACAGTGCCTGGGTATTTTTGTGTATGCAGCCTGTAAGAGCATGGTCTGAGGAATGTGGCATACTTTGATAGAGGGTTTTGATATTGGAAAAACATCTAGTGGCCAAATTCCATATGACATCTTAAGAAGAAAGTGCACAACTGAAGTTCAGCACTGATGACCAGAACCACCTTAAGTGATTAAGTTTAGTCTCTGTCTCCTGCCTGCATCGCACTCCTGGAAGAAGTGGACCTCAGGATTTACAGCACAATAAGCTGCTTGACACAGAAAACCAGATGCCCTGACACATCACAGAGTTTCAGTGGTTATCTCTGAGCCTGATAGTTTACACTCTGCCCACTTTGAATTCTAACACCTTTAAATTGTTTACTGAGCCATAACTACTTTACTTGTCATCCAGAAATTAGGTGCTGTTTTCTTAATTAGTTAAATAATTTATATTGCTAACAGAAGTCTAACTCCCAACCTTGCCCTTGCCAGGCGATCACTGAGCCACTGAGTTCTATCCTTGGCTGCTTTCTTATTCTTGTGTTTCACTACTCTTCATATAAACTTTTTCTGATAGATTTTCCTGCCTGCTTATTCATAGTTTATTGTTGAGAAGGAGAAATTGGATATATTTATACAGTTCAACTGGATATTTTGTGGTTTGTGTATATTGTGAAATTTTTATATCAAAGCATACAAATCTTATATCAGTTTGTGGTGAAAAGAAACAAAATGCAATATTTTGTTGTCCTCTATATGAAGAACGATGTATAATAAAACTGCTAAATTATTCCTCCTGTCTGAATGAAGCTGTTTCCTTTCTCCAAAAAATCTTTCAGAATACTTTCATTTCCCATTTTACTCTCTCTGTGAGTTTGGCTTTTTAACCTTGGCTTGAAAGAGATCTATAGTGTTTTCTTTCCACGCCTCCCTTATTTCATCCAACATACACTACATTTATCCATGTTGCTGAACATAAAAGAATTGGTCTTTTCTAAAGAGACTTTAGTGTTTTATTAGAAATATATGCACTTTGTTTTGCACTCACATGTGAGTAGATGCTCTGTTTCATTTCATGTATTGACTGCTTGAGTAATTCTGCAAAGGAAATGACAGAGCAAATATGTCCTTAAATTCATTTGTATTCTCTGCGTATACACTCAGTAGTGGGATTACTAAATTAAAAATATTTGTAGTTTAGACTTTCGGAGTAGCCTGTAAACTATTGAATTTCCTAATTTACATTCATTGACATTAATATTATAAAACTAATGTCATTTTATTTAAAGAACATGGATAAAATGGAATACAATGTGCTTAAATCAAATAAACAAGTCTCAACACATTAAAAATGGCATGCTTCCTCTCAAGCGATAAACACTAGATAAAATAAGTAAAAATGAATACAAATACCAAGCAACAGAAACAAAAAAACAAAATGACAGACTTCTTGATGGAAAGGGGAATGTGGAGAAGAAGGAAATGGAAGAGAGGCAAGAGAGAATTTGGGGGAGAATGAGAGAGGAGGTAATAAGGAAGAAAATAACTAAATTACCTTATAAAAGGTTAGCAAAAGACTATCACCATCTTTTTTCTGTCCTACAAATGTGCACTAATAAATGCTTGAAATGTAGTAAATTTGCTTGATATACAGTGACAAGGGGACACTTGCACAATGCATTTTATTGCCATTTTGTTGGTTTATAGAACCTTTGGCCTCCAAAATTTGTTGTACTTATAATCCCAAGGCACTTGCATGATTTAATATCATCTCCCCACATATGGACATTCCCATATAATTCATCAAGAAATATGTATAACAATCATTCTTGGCATGCTGGTTATGTTGTTCATTATTAGAGTAAAGTGAAGCCCAGAATTGTAGTAAATTCAAGTGGCTATTCATGGAGTTCTTTGAGTATTGCTATGTTATTTATTGGTTTGTTCATTGTGTTTCTCAGTAGCTACTGTCCGAGTTGAGCCAAATTATAATCTCATTGCATTCTGTGTTACAGAACATAAACATATGTCCAACCAAGTTCAGTGGCCTGGTAAAAATCACCTCAGGAGGTCTCTTAACAGTTACTGCATTAAAATATGCCTCTAAAGGCATGGGGGAAGCAGAATTCAGAAAAGAGAACAGTATAGGGATGTTACATGTGACATAACATAAGGACCATGGAAACTGGTAGTGTTTGAAAAATCACATCCAAAACAATAGAAAGATAAACATTTTTATACCAAATTTGATAACTAGATCATATAAACGTGGTCGACTGTGCCAAAAGAATTCCTGATTATTTCCTAATAAAAGTCAAATACTGTTCATCATATTACTATGGAAATACATACATCATATTTTATCTGCTCAAAATGTGCAAAATTATAACCAGTGCTTCCTTCTCCCTCTTAGACCCCCTCATTCACTGTGTAGTCAGAGCTGTGGTCCTCAATTCAAGAAAATTCCTCAAGAAGAAAGGCCTGTCTGCTGCTTTATCTGTGTTTTCTGCCCAAAGAGACACATTTTCAATCAGACAGGTAGCAAATGTAGAATGACACTGTGATAACTGTTCCCTCTAATAACTTCGCAGTAATGGGAAGCTAGGCATATTTCCAATGGAATCAGAGTGGAGCGCTGTTTCCCACTCATCTACTAATTCATCCCTTCAGTGTACACATTTTATAGTCACAGTCAATAGATACATACTTTTCTCTGGTGGTGCTGATTCTATGATGTTCAACTGAAGCACTGATTGCCATGGTCATCCAAGTTTATATACAATGGCGAGTGAGTCAGGGTCAATCTGTAATCTTACAATGAACCTGGATGAAGCTAACCTGTGAAACAAAATGTGTGTAATTCTCAAAGCCTCCTGTGGATGCTTTGATGTTTCAAATCCAATACTTTTTCATAATAAATTTCAAGTACAAAATTTTTGCTATTTTCATATATTTTTGAAATATGTAATGACAACATTCATTTTAGGAACTGCATTCTCACAAGTATTGGTAAAACAGAAAAACGGCTATAAAATTTTTGCATTGTATCTGATGTCATGAATTGTGACACATTATTATGTATTCTTCTGTAGTGTAAAGACTGTCAGTTATGTCAAATGGTGCATACAGTGCAAAATTTAATTTCAGTATTACATTTTGAAGATAATAGATTTTAAAAATTGGAGATATTTAGAAATATACTGTTGTTCAGTAACAGGATTACAATAAAAATTACTATCCAAAGTGTTATAAACCTGTAAAACAATTGCATTCAAAATGACAATATTTTCATTTTTTCAATATTTAGGTGAAAAAAATTGATAAAACTTTACTGATAAATACAAATGTAGACAGACAAAAAATAAGAAAAGCTATAGATAATTATAAACTTAGGTTGTAGAGTATGTATGTAACAGCATTTAAATTTGAGTGTTCTAAAACACATTACTCACAAGAATCACCACACAAAAGTTAAAATATATGGTGAGAAAACATTTAACTTGTATCAGTACTACAGATTTCCCCATCTGAGGAAAATGAGGGAAGCCTTTGAAATAGATTGCTTTGAGTGAACTTTGTGCCACTACAAAGCTATTCCTGAGGAAGTCTGAGGAAAATCAAGAGAAAGATGGAGAGAACTGCACAATCCTAGTGACATCACTGAGTCCCAGAATGACCTGGCTTCATATCCCATTCTGTTAAATCTGGTGGACATGCCACTTGAATGCATTTGATATGACATTTAGTTAGATGATTTGTGTCTGAGCCAGGCAAGTAGAAATGCAATCTGTTACACCACAATAATGTATATTAAGCAGTATGTATACATAATGATATTGAAAAGTAGTGAGTTTCATCAATTTAGTAAAAATGAAAACTTCCTGAAAAAGAAATACTGAATCTTTGCTTTTTCTCCAGATGCAGAGCAATGCACACAGTGCCCAAAGCATGAGTATCCAAACAGAAACAGAGATGGCTATCTTGCCAAGATTGTGGGTGCCCTAGAGTTGGCTCTGACTCACGTAGCTGTGTTTTGCTGTACTCACAGCTGTGATTTTGGCAATCTTTGTTGAGCATCAATACATTGTCATAGTCAAGACCAATAACAGGACTCTCAGCTACACCCTGCTCATCTCCCTCCTCCTGTGCTTCCTCTGCTCCTTGCTCTTCATTGGCCGTCCCAACACAGCCACCGGCATCCTCCAACAAATGACATTTGGACTCGTGTTCATTGTGGCTATTTACTCTGTCCTGGCCTAGACTATTACTGTCGTTCTAGCCTTTAAAATCACTGCTCCAGTCAGAAGGATGAGGCAGTTGCTGATATCAGGAGAACCAAACTACGTTATCCCCATTTGCTCTCTGATCCAACTGGCTTTCTGTGGCACTTGGATAGGGACAATTGTACTCTACAGTGACAAAAGTTTACTCTCTGACCATGATCACATCATCATCGTGTGCAAAAAGGGCTCCCTCACTGCCTTCTATTGTGCTCCCTAGCCCTGTTTTCCTGGCCAGGAACCTGCATGACCCTTCAACAAAGCCAAGTTCCTAACATTCAGCATGCTGGTGTTCTGCAGTGTGTGGGGCACATTCCTCCCCATGTACCACAGCAGCAAGGGGAAGGTAATGGTGGC